GCCCACATTGGGGCTATGGGGTAGAGAAGACGGTAGTACAGGTAGAGGAGGAGGAAGGATGGTACCGATGGCTATGGAGCAGTGAAGGTGTGCTAGAGGGGTAGCCGTTGAGCTATGGAGGGACGTGGAAGATGCCCACATTGGGGCTATGGGGTAGAGAAGACGGACACTGGGGCTATGGGGTAGAGAAGACGGTAGTAGAGGTAGAGGGGGAGGAAGGATGACACCGATGGCTATGGAGCAGTGAAGGTGTGGTAGAGGGGTAGCCGTTGAGCTATGGAGGGACGTAGAAGAAGCCACATTGGGGCTATGGGGTAGAGAAGACGGTAGTAGAGCTAGAAGGGGAGGAAAGATGGCACCGACAAGAAGACTGGTGTTTGGGTGTGGTGGACCTTAATCTTCACTTTGCTGGTCGGCACTGCATCAAGAAAGCCCTTGTTGGGGTACTGGTTGTAAGTGAGGCATGGCGGTAGAGGAAGAACGAGGCATTGGAGAAGTGTGCTGTCCTCTGCACATGTAGACAGGGATGATCCGCCATAGCCACTAGCGCTACTAGGGGGGAGAGAGAGAGAGAGAGAGAGAGAGAGAGAGAGAGAGAGAGAGAGAGAGAGAGAGAGAGGAAGTAAAGCAGAGTTCTTCCTGCACTTGCAGTGGGGGAGATGTGTCGGACATTGATTCGTCGTTCATTGACTTACCCTAACATACATGACCTACATGACATCAAAATTGCGTATCTGTTGCAAGAATACTGTTGCCCAAGTGAGACTCTGTAAGAGATGTATTTTGTGTCTCCTGTGTGGCTGAGGCATTGGGAGTTGTGCAATAACAACAGATATGCAACAATATTTTTAAATTGCCTTTGTTTACTTCTGTTGCCGCATGTTCCTGTTTTATTCTCCTCTCCCTCTCACCCGTACCTCCACTCCCCCCCCCAACCCTTTTCCCTCCCCCTGGCGGCCTGAAATCGAGTATGGGAGAATGCTCATACCTCTGCTCTGTGTGCGCTTGCTGTTCTTTTCGCATCAACGTCACGTTTTGCAGATACTGGTGATTGAATGTCGTCTTCATTGGAGCAGTTCGCACTTTGCGGTCACCCTTTGCGGTCACCTTACAGTATTGTGCTGGTGCTCGGCGACATCGATTACATCAGGGCAAGAGGCGAAAAGGGTGTGTGCGCAGGTGCTTGTGTGCCCTGTTGCGAGAGAGCAATGGAGAGGAGGAGGGGAAGGGCAGTTGAATCTTGCACTTGTTTCTGCGGTACCCTCTTGCGTTGAAATAAATGCTTTTGACATCCTCGAAGATTGTGCAAGAATGCCGAGTTTGCTGCACAGAAGTCGCTGCAACCCATTGTGTGCTTTTGCGATCAGCTCGGAGGCTCAGGTGTCAGGAGTAAAGAACCATAGCAGCCAGGCCAGCTGCAGGTTGTCGCGGGTGTAGTTTACATGCGCCGTGGGCTTTTTACTTGGAAACCTGTTTGTGAAGGCAAACAGAGAGAGTCAGGCAGGCAAGCAAGCTGGCAGGCTGGCAATAGTGGGCAGGCTGGCAATGTTGCAGGTAAGCAGGGAAAACAAGCTGTGGCTCGTATGGTGGCCGGCAAAACTTTCACGGCATACTCGCACTAGCACTATCTATCCTAAATGTATATGACCGCAATTACAGCCAAACCTGGATGAATCTGGCTGCAATCATGTCCATCAGAGCTTAGTAGAAAAAATCTTTAGTCTCAGTATGGCCTCAAGCCGGTGAGTATCTCCCTGTTATTGATGATCTGCAGAAGATTGTGGTCCGACACCCGACCGACTTGCTCAACTCTTTCGCAAATTGCATGTGTACAGAACTTTTGAAAACAACAATCCTGCGGGTGGCAGAGATTATGGCAGAGAATATGGCAGAGAATATGACAGAGAATATGGCAGAGAATTATGGAAGTCGGGCAGGGATGTCGGCGGGCAGAACCTTTGGAATTGACAGTCTGAAAGCGCCTATTGTTTGTTTGTTTGTGGTTTATTATCGAAGTGAGAGCGCCTTGCTGCACCACTCACCAAATGTGCAAAGTAGTTATGAATCTTCCGCTGGAACATGGAAAGGTATACACCGCCATAATTGTTGTCTTTTGTGCGTTCGGTGAGTGCTGCGGCGAGGCCCTAAGAGCGCAAACTTGTATAACTCCTGCCAGCTCTCGCTCTGGCAATTCCATTTGGGCACATTCGTGCTTGTAAAGGCAGAGAGTCTGGCCAGCTGTAGGTGGGAAGGGATCCCTCTGCAGTGATCCCTTGTTTGTGACTTCGTAACTTTTTTGTTATTGAAACCACCACTTGTTCCCCGCCTCTTTCTCCCAATATGCTGATTTTTTTGCCCGGCGCCAAGACATCCGACGCTTCGCGGCGTGCGATTTGCCTGTGGCCGTGGCCAGCCTTTTTTTGTGACGGCTACTCTGGCACTTCACTTTTCACGGCCTTCGTGTTAACCGGCAGGCGCTTTTTCGCAAGTCCGGATGACAATTGGTTGCTTGAACACAGAGTATACCACGTGTAACTGCTGGGAGAGTTTTTTTTTTTTTTTTTTTTTTTGGTCGGTTCTTGGAATGAGGATTAACGAACTCGATTATGTAGTGGTGCTGGCAGGTCCGTGGCGATATTCTTGCATGGAAAGTGGTCGGGGCCAGCTGTGCTCTCTTGCATGGAAAGTGTTCGGGGCCAGCTGTGCTCAGAGGGGAAAGAACCTTTGACAGCGACTCTGTCGGACTAGCTTGCTGGCCATTGTTCAAAGTGAGCACCCGTTTGTGGGTACACAGACATTTTGAGTTTTTGGGTGTCCACTGTCCAAAGTCTTCGGTCTTGCTTAACAAGTCGCTATATTTGGAGGCTGTCGGCAATCAATCGCTTCAAGGCGATTGTGCGAGCGGAGTATAACCGCACACTGTAGAAGTCAACCACCTCGAATGTTCCAGAAGCTTCGGGCATCTATTGGCATCCCGCTTCTCTTGACACCGCCCGGTCTCCAATAAGTGATCCAGACAAGAGGAGGATGAAGGAATGCTGCAATCCGTACCAAGTACAAGCAAGCTCGTTTATCAGCCTGATGAAATTAGGGATTGTGATTCATATGGCTCTGCTATTTCGTGCGGATGGAAGTGCAATAACATACTTGCAATAATGAAGCTGACGACTACTTGTGCATCTGCTGCAACAAACTAGTTGATGATAGAACCAGTGGATGTCAGACTTCATCCACTAATCAGCGATTCACTTCTGATCTCTGTGATAGTGGCACACAAGCATGGGCAGATGTGACAGCAAGTGACGAGACGAATGCTACCTCTGTGTTTCAAAGGCACGGGGCCTTTTTTGAGTATTAATTATTTTATTTCCTTTGCTCTCTCTCTCTCTCTCTCTCTCTCTCTCTCTCTCTCTCTCTCTCTCTCTCTCTCTCTCTCTCTCTCTCTCTCTCTCCCCTCCCCTCCCCTCCGGTTCTCTCTCCCTCTCCCTGCCTTCGTTCCCGCCACCACTGGATTTACCTTCCCATACTCTAGTTTGGCTTTGTTGGGTGGCTTTCAGCCACGATCTTCCTTCCCTCGTTTGTGCTGTCCCACTTTTTGCCTCTGTTTGTTCATCTATTTCCATGTCTCCCTGCTATTCTGTCCCTAGCTTGCCCATCCTTCTGTGCGAACACGTGACGCGCACTACGGCTCACTTTCCTCCCTTGAATTCTTATGCATGCCCCGTTTGCTTCCCTATGTGCTGCTGCTCACCTGCCTCACCGTGTTGTCTCATTCTCTGTGATTGCTTGCGGCTGCATGCCGCGCTTTCTACTTTCCCGGAAGGTGTGATCGGATGATGTATGTGTCCAGGATACTGTTTCGCGAGGAACTCAGCGCACACAGTTTGCTTTGTGACGTGCCCAATTCAGGGTACAGAAACATGCAAGCGCAGTTTGTTCTCCAAAGTTGTCGTGCATTTAATGACATTATTATCCTCGACTCAGAGCCAGCGCTATAGAAATTTCCAATTGTCACGAGGCAACGTAGTGGTGGTTTTTAAACGTAGGTGCAGGGGACAGGACATGAGAGAGGAACCTGCAATTGTCGTGAGAAACGTACTCAGTGGCACACGCGCACACGCTCATCCTCGCCAATCGAACAACTGCACGCAGCAGCCTGAGGAGGAAACAAATAGACTAGCATATGAACCCCCGACAGTGCGCTGTACTGGTAGGTTATCACCGCCACGGCGAGCTTTTTTTTGCCGACCGAAATCCTGCAACAGCTAAACACCCTTGCTTTGGACCACCTCCTGTCGACATCTGTCCATGGAGAGTAAATAACGACTGCGGAAACCCAACAAACCTGCTCAATGCCGCTCTGTGATGGCCCGCCCACCTGAGATTTGGCTAGCATGTGTGATTTGCATGCCTTGTGTCGTGAGGATTATGAAGGCACGTAGTCCATGCAAGTTTTTGTGTTTTCGTACGAATGATGACCGTCAAACATTGCAGTCATGTGTGGCACTCTGACATGTCGTGTCCAATTTGTAGACACGGGTTGGATCGACAATGCCTTTTCAATTGCGGCCGGCGTGCCTCTGTGTTCCTATCCTAGTATGTAGGAGCCATGTGCCTCTGTGTTCCTATCCTAGTATGTAGGAGCCATGTAGCCTGTGACATCAGATTCTGTCTATGCCGTGCGCCATTCGATGCAGCAACTGCAACTGCGAGAATTGGATGTCGTGCTTCTACTGTCCACTACCCGAATCGGTCCTGTCCGGTCTGGAGGGGTGGCCGCTTACCGTAGGCAACGGATGCTCAACTCGAAATCTCCACTGACCCAAACACTGACTGACCTCCTCGCGTCACTCTAATCTGCTCCGGCGGTGAGTGTCAAGAACCCTCTGAAGTTTGTCATTCCTCTCTTTTGTTCGTTGCCTATCCATTCCGCCTCTCGCTTCCTATAAAACTCCACCTTCTGTCCCTTTCTTCCTCCCTCCCTTTGTGTGCTACTAATAAATGCATATGAATGAGCAGGATTAATAGAACAGACGAAATATAAGCTGAAGATCTGAAGAAAAATGTAAAGGAGTATTCCCCCACCCGCCCTTCGCTCTGCCTCCTATCATAACGTGCAAGTGTGTCACTAAGGTGCACGGGGATTTGGGCAGCTGGCGCTCAACCACAGTCAACGTGGCCAGTTTTGTACGTGCGAGGCATAGTAAAAGGGGAGGTGCAATAACATAAAAGGGGAGGTGCAATAACGAGTACAATGGGCACCCCAAAGAAAATTGAAGTAAAGATACTTTTTTTTGTTTTGTTTTGTGTTTGTTTTTTCTTTTTTTTTTACTTTAGAAAGGGAAATAATGGATCTATTTGCTCCCTACAGAGGTAAAACTGTTTCATGGTTAGATTGGCTTGTCTCAAGTGTGCTTCATTGTCTGTAATAGAGGTAAAGTTGCTTTGATTTTGGATCTACTCGTCTGGGCGGGACAGGGGCTGTTGTAATTAAAGTCTAACACACACATCTCCACACACACACACACACACACACACACACATCTCCAGCAGCCTGAACACTGAGTGACCTCTTATGTCATTCTAAGAATGGTCTGGTCCAATGGTGCTCTCTCTCTCTCTCTCTCTCTCTCTCTCTCTCTCTCTCTCTCTCTCTCTCTCTCTCTCTCTCTCTCTCTCTCTCTCTCTCTCTGCCCCCTGCGCGCCCTCATTGCAAAATGAGAATGAATCTCCTGGGAGAATGTGGGAAGATTCTTTCTCTCTCTCCCGCTCTCTCTCTCTGTCACTCCTTTTTCTTTTTCAAAGAATAATTTTGTCCGTTTTTTTATCTTTTTACCAAATTTACCTTTATTTTTTTTGTGTGTTTTTGGAAGGCTAAGTCCGGTAAGTGTACGCCCGGTAGCTCCAGCCTCGGCACGACTTGCCATACCGGTTGGCCGAGGCTCGGACTTGATAGCTGGGCCAAGTACTGGTGGTTTAACAGCAAAATAACAACAAAATGATTATGTTTGAATCTGGTTCTTTGATATTAGCTGGAAGTTCTTCAAAAGCATGAAAAACTGAACTTCATGCCATCCATTCAAGTGTACTAGTTGAATTTGGCTCAACTGCTCGAGGCGCTTGCAGAGCACTAACTTCACTAGTTATAGTGAGATAAACAGGCACAAAATTTTGCGGACCTTTCGGCGCCGTTTTCCAAGCTGGAAGGGCATAGTATTAGGTGTGTAAGCAGGGCCTCAGTCTCGGGTGATGGCATGCCTGCGTGTCTTGCAGAGTTCAGAGTTGGAGTCCGACTGTCGTAGCTGCAAAGTCGTCTCCGCCACCGTGACTTCTGCTTCTCCGCTGGGTGCGTATTGAAGTCAAACCTAAGCCTCCAGTAGTCTGATTACCTGACATCTGGGCCAGATGTTTTGGTTGGATGTCTGGTACCCCTGTTGTCTTCGATCCTGGATAACCGCTTTTGGGCAAATCCCGAGGCCCCACGTTCGGGTACAAACTTGGGGGTGTCGGGGCTCGGCACGGCGACACCCCCACTGGCCCCACATGAAAAGAATTTGGGGTGGTAAAAACAGGGCGGGGGCCTCCTGTGCTTCGCAGCATCCTCGTGCCCACCCCTGCAGCGTCGAAACTTCAAAACCCTTCCCCTCCCATCGTCCTCGTGCCTACCTCCACGGTCTCAAAAACTTCAAATCCTCACCCCTCCCCCTGCTCCCCCCTTCCGCCCCCATATTTTGCGTGTGGGGCGGACAGGTGGTCCAGGCCAGACATTTGGGTTATTTCAACTTATTTGTCCGATCGGACAAGCCAGACACTCGGGGCGGTCTCAGGAATTAATTTTGCCCAGGTAAAACGCTGGGCCCGGTTCCGAGCACGGGCTGCTCCCCTCGAATAGGTTGGAGCCTTGTCCCCCCCCCCAAAAAAAAAAGATTCGAACCCCCTTCCCATATGGTATGCATAACACCTACAGTCTAAAGAGAAAGTGCGAGGGTAGTGAGGGTCGATGGCGGCCCAAGGGATAACTATAACTACGAGCTCGCTACGTCGTAGTAAGATAATCAAATATGGATTAAAAAAAGGTGTCTACAATCAATGAATCCGAAGTTGACAAAAGTAGAACATCGTAAATCATCAGGGAAAGGGTAAGGGTGGGGGATCCGAGCCGAGCCGAGCCGCAGCCTGGCACACGTCGTAAACAAATTCAGATTCAAATTCAGATTCAAATTCAGATCAAATTCAGATTCAAATTCAGAATTTGGACGGAGATCTGGGAGCACGATTCTAGCACAGAGCGTCGTTGACATACTAGCAATGATAGATAGCATCCAAAGTTACAAAGTAGGCTAACTCCGAGGAAACCCATGCACAATTTTTTTATTTTTTTTTAACAAGGCTGGGTAGTGCTAGGGGTGCTGATAAGAGCAGACACCGCTAGTGTTCCCCGGGCGGCTCCATCTATTGGTGGGGAGCAGCACCTGCTGGAAACCGGGCCCAGCGTCCCATCCTGTTCTGTCCTTTGGCACTAAAACCGTGGCCCGGGTCCGGGGCCCAGTCCGGGTCACACTGGTGGGCACATCTTTTCCTAATCCGGCAGATGCCACAACCAACATTCATTTGACAACAATAGGGACTCCATCCTCTCTTGCCCCTCCAGCATCACATTATGAAAAACGTGAAAAGAATCAAAAGATAGGATACAACCCCTTCTAAATGTTATCGCGAAGTCCTTCGGGACATCCGTTAAAATTGGAACGATACAGAGAAGATTAGCATGGCCCCTGCGCAAGGATGACACACATAAATCGAGAAATGGTCCAAATTA